GGCTGGACTGCTTCCCTTCCGAGGCTTCTTTATTACTGTTTAGTTTTTGACGTCGAGTCAATATATAATACAATGAATTTGTTTTCTAAATTCATATGTTATTTTGCGGGGCATTGAGCCGCACAGGTTCACTAGTTTTTAATTAAACCGCAATATTATATCTATCAAATTTATATCGTCCATCATGTCGATTGTTATGAACAGTATTTAAACTATAAACACAATCATTTAACTAACAAAAATACTAGTTTCTAACATCAAACACGTCCGTCAGGCGTCCGAACAATAAAAAAATTACGGTGGGAAGAAATGTGAAATTAACTGAAGGACGGCGGATGAGCAACTAACGGACCTGTCCAGATGAGTTTAGATAGCGCAATATAAAACCCATTAAAGATATTTGTTGACTTTTACATGACTGATTTGACTGACCTGTGACGTACCGTAACTGACATATGTGAATCGACCTTTCTCTTTTAGTCCACACCATATAGCTATACCTTAAAAGTTTTGACTCAACAGTACATCCGGTTTCCAAAAACTACGCCAGTTAGTCCTGAAATATTGATACATAAATCGTCGTCTTCTCCGACAGTTAAGGCTGGAAGATATAAGACGCTCCAGTGACTGCAGTGATATTCCAGACTGTTTCCATGTTCTATTTCAGTAAGAACCATTTCTGTCTTGTTGACAGATATATTTCCAGATTATTCTAATGCGCTGGAAACAGCAATATAAATGACACGGTGTCCGAAGGTGTATTTCAATTTGTCGAGGTACGTTAAACACGTTATTTGCTGTGAGGAATTTAAATTTGTTTTGTGGACTTTTGATTTTAATGGATTAGTTGAGAGTGTAGACTTTTAAATTTTCAAAGCCTATATATTTCGTTTGTACCTGGTATTTAGTAACTGTTTGAATTGTGGTTTATTTATTGTAGGAAAGTTGCATAATTGCCATTACATTAAACTATTTGTTAATTTTATATGTGTTGAAATATTTAAGACATGTTTATGTTTGTGATCTATTTGTACATATTGCATATCAAAGTAAAACTTAACTCACAGGAAATGCAAAATTTTCATGAAAGTAGAGATTTTTCAAGAAAATGATAGGGTATTAAAAACTTACCATCATTTCCACATAATGAAACCGCCATTTTCAAAGGAATAAAAATAGTAAAATTCTGATTCAATCAAAATATCTGTATAAAAAATCTATATATATAATACGCTAAGCCGATTTTTGTAAACGGAACTCCTCCCTCATTTTTGGATTGATTTTGACCATTAACGTGTCAAAAGAATGGCCCTAATCTGTAGTTTTGCAAAGTCTTTTTCATTTTTTGAAATCTTTATTAGTTTTGGGCAGGATCTTCCATCAAATTTGGGTTTTCTCCCATAAGATTAACGTGGGGGAATGTAAATATTTAATTGGAAACTTTGTTTCCACTAATTTGAGAGAACGGCTGGGCGTAGAAACATGGTAGAGGTGTCCAAAGAAAGGTCTCAGTCTCTAGATGAGTTACCAAAAGAAAAACTAAGTGAATCCTATTAGGGCTCTGCCCCAGAAGCCCTTAAAGCTCCCTCCACAGATTTGTTTACATTTTCATCATGTGGATAATACTTTTGAATTAAACAGCTGTTAATTCTTAAATTGTATTTTAAACAACACACGTTTATTGAGAGTTATTGAATTGTCCAAAAAAAGTATTTGCAATGCTATTTACTGGTTTTAAAATTGATTTTCTTCTGTATCATGCCATGTTTTGCAATATAACGTTCCATTACAAAATCAGTTGACAATCATTTTATAGTAACTCTCACAATTATTTCTTATTGAACTATATCTTATATCTATTGTACAGGTTGGTGTCTGCCTTTATTACCACTTTTGCCTATATTTTATCATATTATTTTAGACAGATCATCATAGGTTCATGAGATTATTGTCATAGATGTGTTCAATCATTGGAGAAGTCTTTGATCGTGTAATACAATAAAAATAATACAAGTGCAGAAGGGCACGTTGTTCATATTTTGTTAAATTAATATTAGTGTACAGCAACTGGATAAAACATTTTACAATATTTATGTAGCAATATGTGCATGATTTAAAAAGTCATTAAACTGGAAAATTGCAATTTACTACAGACTCTTCAGAGAGGTTACTTCGATGTGTTCATTCCGCTTAGTAAAAACATAATAAGGGAATGTATACAAATAATAACTTCAACTTTAAGAGAGCCTTTGAATGTTATTAGACTAACGAAGAGGGTTCTGCATGTAAACTATCGCTACTCAGCAACAAAAACGATTTAATTTATCTCTAAAAAAATTATTCTTAGTGGACTGAGCAGCAGCCTAAAAATACTATTTAACTTACTTATACAGTTACAAAATGTCCAAACTCGCATTTATAATTCGGCTTATATTTCCCCAACAGATTAATTATCTGTAGAAGAAGTTCATTGAGCTCTTATCGTGTCTCATAACATCCAAACACAACTGAAACCTTTATTTTTAGTCTAGAATGCTACCGGTACCTATCTTTGACAATTTATTTGCAGTGGCCTATATTACTGACCGTGGCTTACGAGGTTGGTAACATTATTGAAAATAACATGACATTTTCCCTGTAAAAATGGCACAAAGAGTAAATACTATTTAAGCAGTTACTGCCATGACAGAAAGGTCATATTCCTTTTAAACTAGATCACATCATCCTTTATAAGAAACGTTGGTTAACAATGCATTTTAACGTTAATATTTACGCAACAGCCAATTTACAGTATTCTTTGCTTTTTGGAAATGCCACTTTGCTATGTCATTTGCATTATTTGTTGCCATTGAAGCCGCACGCCCATATAAACGAAGAGGCCCCTAACCGTCGATTTCGACGGGTTTCTCCTAGTAACTTTAAAATAGTGTATAGTATGGCATACATTTATATTTGACAATTGTTAAATTTTAGCTAGTGAACCTCTGGTTTTAATATTTCTAGTATATAAAACATTAAAAATATTTAAAAGTTTTTCTTGGTGTTGGTTTACTGGGATAATTTTTAATTTCATCATTTGGGATCTGTCTGAAATAATTAAAGGAAAAGGGCTGGGAGATTCATCCTATAACTTATAAAAAAAAAACCCAAGTCCCACATACTTCAAAATACTTATACTTTTTCTTATACTTTATACTTTTTAGTGAAATTGCGACCATAAATAGAAGATCTCAACGTCAAAATCTTTTTACCAAATGCAATATTTGCGTAGGAATGTTGTAAAAAATAAATGTTGTAGTGCACGGGTCTTCGGCTATAGAGTTCAGGGTTCAAATCCTGCCAGACCAGAACCAAAGGTTTTCAACTTGTAAAATCGCTGTGACTCGGAGTACTTATCCTTAGTTACAAGTCATCTTTTTTTTTTAAATAAAAAAGCAAAGTTGCATTACTGTATTTAAAACATCCTCCACCAAAATTTTCACGATTACTTAATTTAACACTAAGTTAAGATGTGTTACGCTTCACTTGATGGGATACCTAATCACTGACTTTGGTTGAGTATTTTCTACTTAGTTGTTTTATTGAGTTTGTCTTACTATTGTTCTAGATATACACTAACAAGAAATCTCTTCAATCATAGGTGTTGCAGACTTTCTTAAGCCATCAACAACAAAGAAAAATAATGCAATTAAAAGAAATATGAAAACGTGAACGGCCGAAGAAAACGATGTAACGGAGATATCACAATGAAATGCACCATTTACCATTCGCACACTTTACCCAGACATTCAAAGAATGTTCGAATCATCCTGTTTGAAGCATCAATCAAAGTGATGTAAACCAACAAACTGCGCATTTACTGTCATTCCTGCCTTCTCAGTAGGCTGGAACGTTTGGAGGGAAAGCTACATAATTGGCGCGGAACGGCCATCTTTTAATTATAAGCATCATTACCTTCAGTATCTGGGGGGTAAAAGAGGAACTGTAAATAGTCGGACTATTGCATCGGTTGAAATATAATATCGGTTTTATGTTTGTTTTTATGCATTACCAAAATACGTCTATACAATCGCAGAGAACCTATGGGAAGTTGTTGTGCAATGAGGTTTATTATTTTCCGTGTTGTCAGCTGACCAGAAATTTTTTATTTGGTCTCAGGCTTTCAAAGTTACCACTTCAATTACGAGAATCATAATATGATACAATTTGAATCAGTTGTACAATTGTATTTTTTATGCATGCGATGAGAAAATTACAATACTCACTCATTTTGGTTTTAAGCATTTTGACAGTTTATTAGTTTTCAATGTTGAATCAATTGCTAAAATAATATGTATTTATTTAATGTTGATTTTTTTGTCCTAGGATGCTAGTCACGAACCCGGGATTGTTTTACGCATTACTTACAGGGATATTATGACACACACCATAAAATAACTTGTAGTACTCAATAAGTTGAAAAGTATAATTATTGTATGTTCAAAGCGAATAACAGAAATTTCTTCGATGTAATCTTTTTGTAAGTAGCTGAAGGAAAAGGTATCTCATTTATATTTCCAAACACCGGATGACAATTGAAATGAAACCGAATGAAAGAGTATATGTTGTAAAAACTAAGAACCATTAAGTTTTAGTAATAATCTATGGTAGTGTTATATCTATGTGTTTACACAATCTGTTCCAACAACTGCTATGCCTTTGTTAGCTATTTTCAATCATATGTTATTATTGTTCTAATGTGTTTCAATGTAAATAAACAAGAGTTCAAATTAGGCTCATTTCAACTTGTAAATTCAAAACTATTTTTAATATTCAAAACTTCTAATACACAATAGAAATGGTGACGAGAATAGACTAACGTGAATACATATTTACAGTAGTTTCATATATATGATCAACTGATTTGTCTCAAACCGTCCAAAGCATGAATAGTGCAACTAGTTTTTTAAATCGCTATTTTGTACAGTTAATGTGAGTACGCCCGGTGAGTCAGTGAGTCAGTCAGTGAGTCAGTGAGTCAGTGAGTAGTGCGGGAGGTGGCTGTACCGGCGCACACTGCGCTCATACTACTTCAGTTGTGTATGTGCGGGCGACCCAGCGTCATCCACCCTACAGCTTGTAAGTAGACCTACTTTTGTCTCAATGTTTCCATATCTTTTACCATGTTAATACGTACACTTTTTAAATATTTACTGTAGGGTAATATTTTGTGACAAAAGTTAATGGCATTTTAAAATTGCAGGATATTTACTTTAATGGTATGTTGAATGAATATTTATTTTGACAAATAGTAGGTTATAATACAAACTTACATTATCCATTTACATATTTTCTGTAGGGCAGTTTATTGTGTGAAAAACAACCCTGTAAAATTGAGTATTTTAAAGGTTTTAGAGACGGCAGAACTTATGCAATGAAATGTTGCTCTTGTCTTAATATTAAAAGTGAATGTAAAACAAACATTATTAAATTTGCTTCACTTCCGTAAAAACATATTTTTATTTGAGATGAAAAAATGTATCACCATGCAAAACCGCAAAAAACATAGCCTACATTGTTTAAATATAAGCTGTATGGCCGGATTTATTTTTGTGCCCAAGATAAATGTTTACATTTCCATGCTAAACAGTAATTTTAAGAAATTAATGATATGTTCTAATAGTAGTTGTTTATCAATTCAAAACTTTTTAAACTAAATATACCTAGGTGTCCTTACATAAAAAAATGATTGACTAAGACAACAACATATAAATCACAAACTAGTATTAAAAGTAAAAAAAAATATATAGGTAGGCCTAACAGTCACTGAACCTAAATTTAAAAACTAAACACACATTAAAGAGATTTTTTTAAATATTAGATTTTGGACATCACTTTCTTTTGTGGCTTACGTATGTTTTTAATACGAAGGAAAACAGTACTATCTTTTAAAATCGAACCATGTATTTGATTAGGTTGTAGTTTTGGATGGTGCAAAAACATATTAGATATAGTGATTTAAAATGTATAGGTAGGCTATTTAGTCTGTGAATAAACAACAATTTTAATGTGAGCAAAATATTAGTACATTAAATTTGGAATATTCATAAACTTTGAAATGTAGATGCAAATAACATGGTTCTTTTTCAAATTGAATACTGCCTATAAGGACTACATTTTCCTAGGCTATGTTTTTCTTTATAAAAGAACACACAAATGTAAAGACACATTAGTGCCATCTTACAGAAGTTCAAGCTACATTAAAGTAACGTAAAAAAGAATGTAAAGACAATTACCTATGTGAATCAAACATGATTAGTATATTTCCAAAATTTATTCAACTTTCCAAAACTTCTGTAAAATAATAGGGGTTTCTTATAAATTTAAGCATAATTTTTGTATTGTAGGGTTGGGTTTAATCTATACTCTAAGCCCCCAAAAAAGGCACTTCACAAAATTATAACGGTCACTATTTAATTTAAAATAAATTCAGTTAGGCTAAATAATATATTTTAATCTTCTCCAGTGAAAAGGATTTAACAGTTTGTAAATGACAGTTAATTGTTTATCTTTTGAAGTGGTTTTTTTCTGTTGACTAAAAAGGGAATTTGTAGCCTACATGCTGTACCTACCAAATTAAAGAGAAGTTCAGGAATACCGGTATTTATTTTCGTAGGGCAAAGTATAAGACATAGAAGACATAATATTGATAAATATTGATACATAACTAATAGAATATTATGGATACGTTTAAAACTATATTATAGGCCTACATTTAAAATATATTATAGGCTACAACTGGTTGCAGTTTGACTGTTGAAATGATCTAATACAAAATCTATCTACGAAGTTCGCAGTTTTTTTTACTTTTAGGTAGCCTATTTTTTAAATTTACAATTAAATTTCCAGCCACAGACACCTTCTGGAAGAATAACAAAGTGATGTTTTGAACACCCCATGTTTCACTGATAAACCTACTTTGAGTGTGATGTAGAAAGTAAAGATCACTACAAAAGACTGTTTAAAAATAAAGTAGTGTAAGCATTATAAAAATAGGGTAAATTCCTACATTAAATTCATTCGGTCATTGTAACGTTTTGGTAACCTATGATGTGTTGGATTTATAGCCTAAGTATAGCACTTTCCCCATCAATTAATACAAAACCTATTTTCCATCGGTAAAAAAGAAGCAACTTTGATTAAGAAATGAAATTCTCATATGTACGTATGAGAAATACTTTCCATTCACATAGGTAACTTGAATTGTACGAAAATTGTTATGCATTGATAGAAACAAATTTGAAAAGAAATACGAATATGTAAAAATATGATAAACAATACAGATATATTTAGTAGCTAGTCAGTATTGTTATGTTTGTAAATACAAAATTGTAATGTGTTATGGGGGGGGGGGATTGTGGATTCATTGTGCACTAACAAACTTTTACACATAGAATAATTTTATTAATTAAAACCATCAATTCATGTTTAAATTAAATTTATAAGACTACATCATTTAGTGTTTTTGGTCTTCTTTTGTTTCTTCGTTGAAATTCATATTTTATTATAACAAAATTGTACTTTTAAAATGTTCACGTATATGTATACTACTGCTTGTCCATTAATTTCACCACATATAATTTACTGACTGTGACATAGGCTATAGGATAATTTACAATTACTTAAACTCGTTTAAATACTTCTAAAATAAACTAATAATTGGTCTGGGGATATTTACGTATTGAGTACAGTATCTATTTTGATTGAAAGGCAACATTTTTTAATTTGACAATGTTACCCTAATATTATAATCGAATGTTACATTAACAGGCCAGCAAATGAAGCGAAATCCAAACCAACCTACGCCTTTTCTAGGATGATCGGTATAAACAATAAAATATACTAAAGCGCGTCTGAAATTACTTGCTTTCCCTCAACATTTTGAGCAAGAAAAGGGTAAGCACGTATTTTTTTACGCTATTTAAAAAACGGAAAGTAAATAAAAGAAACGTCTTATAACACTTAAAACATATATTTACGCTTATACTGTTACTCACAAGACGGTAAATATACAAAAACGATGGTAAGTGGTATGGATGGATTTAAAAAACTACAATCAATTAATTGTGATATAAACTCAAAGGCAACACCTAGTTTTTATAAAATCTTTGTACTAAATAAATCAACATCTGTGAAAATAGCAAAAACTGTTACGGTATTTATTTTATTGGTTTACCAGTAAAACTTCTGGTAAGACTCGTACTAAAAAAATTATTGAGTAAAAAACGAACGGTGATTTCGTAAATTTTCTTGAAGGAGTGTGTTAGAGGGTTCTGTGCCATGCTATGCAAATCATTTTGAGGCTTTTAAAAGTTCATGATTAGTATAGTGATATGCATTCGTGCAAGTTTATGTATCTAACAACTACCTAGGTTATCTTGTCTGTGCTTATTTATGCATTTCCGGTCAACTTGCCTTTTAATGAACCTTAAAGGTTAGGCCCTTTTAACATACTAGACTAGAAAAAGTGTAGTTTATTTATTCGTTGGATGGTTTTGTTCGAGCATTTCAAAACAAAGGTGGTATCATAGGTAAAACTGTACATTTCAAACCCTAATTAATAATAAAATTTAAAATTAAATAGTTTGCGTAATTGTATATCTTATGATACATAATATCATTGACTATATATACCTATAGGTAGGTATATATTGGTAGGTCTATACCTGTAGGTATATGTAGTCAATGATAATATAAATTAAACGGTAACTTACTAACCCGTTAAAATGAAATACGTTTTAGTTAATATTGTGGATGAATTTATATCAAGAACTGGTTCGAAAGCGTTTTAGTTTCTTCAGGAATTCTAATTTATACAAATATCCTATTATTACAAAATGTTCTTTCATTAGACACAAAACTCAAACGCTTTTTTTATACTTTTATTTATATTTCAATGACAGTTCAAAACAAATTATCGATTCACAAATTAATTATATAAACATTTTAAAACTAAATACTTCACTAAAATTTTTGTAATATTTATTTCTTGAGACCTTCTATTTATTTCGCCTTCTATGGCACCGTCAGGCACAAAAAAAGTGAGTTATGTTTATATATAAAAGTTTAAAAAAGTAAAAAAAATTTGGTTAGTTATTTATTTTAAAATTTATTTAAATCAATATTACCAGTTTCTCATTAAGAAAAAGAATTATTTGATGTTATTTATAGTATTAACAGAAATTTACCTTAACCTAAAACTTTGTTAGCTAGGCTTTTGCTTTATATCCATGAGTAGATGGATTACTTTGAATGCGTACATTAAAAGTCCAACATGTAAAAAAATCGATTTCATTTAAAATATTAAAATATAATAATCTTTGATTCAAAGTTCTTTGATTTTCTTATACTTTTAAAACACTCTGAAAGAATTAACGAATCCAAACTTACTTTGGTGACTGGGGTGCATGGAAACACTTCCTAACATGGCGAGTTCTTTGATACTTGCAAGTTACAGAGGGTAGAATTTCACGTGAAACCTAATAATGACCAAGTCTATGTCGCTGCCTTTGTCAGGATTAGTAATTTAAAGGTTTAACGAAGCAGAGACATCGCCCTTGAATATTTTTACTCACCCTCTTTCAAATGTTACAGGTGAAGAGCTGCAATGCAAGAAGCTGCCACGAGGTAGTGATGGCGAAGATGGACCTCTCCTAGCATGAGTCGACAACGCATCATGATCCCGGAGGCGTTCAAGGTTCTTCCGCCACTAAGTCCAGAGCTTCCGGCGCCTCCTAGAGCTCCGCCACCCCATCGAGTGGCTCCCCCTGTAGCCAGGAGGGAGAAGACGGCCTTCGTCATCCTCAACGACGAGGCGCCACCACACGGGAGAAGTAGAGACAATTCTCCTAATGGGAGAGTGAGTCCTTTCCGAGGAAGAGGCTTCCGCGAAGAGACTTCCAGGCATGCCTCCAGAGAGCCATCCCCGTCACCTGACCGAGCGAGGAGAATCCCTCCACGAGCGAGGAGTAGGTCAACCAGTAGACTGCCTGTAGCTACTCCTAGAACTATAAACGGCTCCAGCACCCCTACCAGCCCTCCAGGAGTCTCTGGTATACCTAAGCCTATCAGCAGAAGAAACTCTTTGTCGCCAAATAGAGCAACTCAAGTGTTGAATCAAGTGAATAGAAACAAATCCATAAAGTTGCCCTCCCAAGGAAAACCAGTGATAATAAAACCAGTGTCTCAATCTCCTCGGCATTCCGTTAAGACTGGCGTTTCTCCTAAAAGAGTTGGACCTTCGGAGATCTCAAAATCCCTAGTGAATGGGACGAAACCACCGATTCCGAAGATTCAAGGAACGCAGAATCAGAAAAATGGTGAAAAGGAAAATGACAAACGGGGTAATCTTACATCTCCGTATAGGAAACGACCTCAGCCGAGCAAACCTGAAGCGGTCAAATCCCCCTCTAGGATACCGCGAACTAGAAGTGTCTCGAGAGGAAGGGAGGATAATGTCCGAGCTTCATCTCCTGTACGAGCGGTTGTAAGGGCTTCACGAAAACTACCTCAAGGATCAACTAAACCTGCTAACGGTGACAAAAAGGGTGTTTCGAATATAGAAAGGAGAAACAACGCTAAGAAAACTGGCCCGATTGCAGATAAGAAGAATGCAACACCAAAAACATCCGTGCCAACAACACCAGCGACACTAGTCGAAGAGAAGCCTAAGCTTAACTTAGACCTTGACAATAAAGTTCCAACACCTATAGAGGCTGTTGTTTCAACACTTCCAGGAACTGACGACAAGACTCCGGAACTCGAGAAGAAAGAAATACAAGAAGCTCCGATTGAGGTGCAACCCCAGGCTCAGGTACAATCTCCTCCACCGGCAAAGACAGCGGAGGTAGAAAAAGAAAATAAAACAGAGGAAACTCAGAAACCCCAGGAAGCTCCAACTGCTGCTAAAGATACCAAAGAAGAAGTTCCAGAAGCAACTGTTACTCTGGTACGAACTACAACTGCTCCGGCTTTAGAACTTGCTCAGCCGGATGTAATCCCTACGATTTTGTCCAAGGGAGAGCAGGAGATCTCAAAGTCGATCAGTGAAGGTCCTTCTGAGGAGGATCAGGACGAGAACCCAGGAGGTCCGAAGGGAGAGACTCTCGCCTCCGTGGAGTCTGTCAGGTCCAATTCCTCGGTGGAGACAGTGCGAGCGGCAACCAAGGGTCAGGGTAGAGAGAATGAAGTGGAGGTACTTAGCGCCAACAACCTGATGAAGTCCGACGGCCACACCAGAAACGTCGCTTGGGACAAGTGAGTAAAATTTATCATCTATTATGTTTATGGACACTAAAGTTCAATTAAATTGTAAAGCTGAAATTGCTGATAACGGATATAGTCGTGTCGTATTATTTCAAATCGTATGTTTTATTTTAATAGCTATAAGTACTCTTGTTTGGTAAAACAGATGTGCGTTGATCTCCATAAAGTATAACCCGTAATCCGGAATCAAATAAATAATCTTATGATAGGTCTATGAAGTAGGCCGACCCGGGCCGACCAAGCCTTTCGTTTCCATTTTTTCATTAGTATTGCATTTTCAATATTTAGCTGATGAGTCATGTTAACTAAAAATATTCAAAAAATGTGTGTGATACAAATTTGTTATTTGAAACTATTATAAAAACTAATTTTTCCCATGTCTTCATTAGTACGGTATTGAATTTTCAACATTTAGCTGATGCGTGATCTAACACTATTCAAAAAATATGTGTGATACAAATAATGTATGTTATATAAACAGTTCTAAAAACAAAGTTTTTGTCATTTGGACGAAAGGCTTTTTAATTTAAGCTCCAAGGCTATAAATATAATCCTTATATACAGGGTGTCCCGGAACTCTCTACCAATATTTTAGGGCATTGTTCCTGGGTAAGAAACATATCTAAATATCATATTTAAATTGTCCGGAAGTCCTTAGTTACTCAGATAGCCGCCATTTTGTTTTTTTCACTTATTAATTTTTTTCTGAAAATTGGTTAAACATACGAAGTTGAAACTTTGCACAAACATATATGACAACTAGACAAAGCTACAAAAAGATTATGACGATTTTCAAATTCATAAAACAAAATGGCGGCTGTTTAAAATTTTGTTTCTTAAATTACTCGAAAACCGTTGATTTTACATAATAAATAATAATTTTTAAGGCAATTTTATTACAAATCGATCGACACCTTAATCTTTAAGATCGGACGAGTATTAACTGAGATATGGTAGTTTTAGTGATAAGTGACCGCCGGATATTAGTTGCAGCGCATGCTGAAAGCGGTCACGTATCACTAAAACTGCCATATCTCAGTTAATACTCGTCCGATCTTAAAGATTAAGGTGTCGATCGATTTGTAATAAAATTGCCTTAAAAAAGTTATTCTTAAAAAATTTTTGTAAAATCAACGGTTTTCGAGTAATTTAAGAAACAAAATTTTAAACAGCCGCCATTTTGTTTTGTGAATTTGAAAAATCGTCGTAATGTTTTTGTAGCTTTGTCTAGTTGTCATAAATGTTTGTGCAAAGTTTCAACTTCGTATGTTTAACCAATTTTCAAAAAAAAATTAATAAGTGAAAAAACAAAATGGCGGCTATCCGAGTAACTAAGGACTTCCGGACAATTTAAATATGATATTTAGATATGTTTCTTACCCAGGAACAATGCCCTAAAATATTGGTAGAGAGTTCCGGGACACCCTGTATAATACGTGAAGGTGATTTCTACAAAACACTACTCCTCCGTTAATAATGGACTGATGGACTGTGGTGTGAGGGAATTTCTTTCTGTGAGGGAACAATATAAACAAATATTTTGGACTTATGGTCCACTTGTTTTTCTGTAAAAGTAGAAAAGCCTTTGTCCCCACGAAACACTTGACTTTAAAATGTTATGAAATTCGATTCAATAATATACTGGAGTTAACTAACAAATGAAAAGACATTTTAGACAAACACAACTACTTATCGAAGCTATTTTACCAATCATTTTAAGTATAAAGGCATTAGTTATGTCTTTAAATTAAAGGACACTTTTAACTTTATGAATTCTCAAAGAAGACAACGAGGACGTCAGACACGCAGCGAGACGCGTCCACACGGCATACTCCACTCGTGCATACATTTACGTCTATTTAGGTCATGGGCTAACTTGTTATACAGCTGTTTTGAGGTTACTGCTCAATAAAGTATATTTCTGTAAACGGTTATATTCAATGGCACTTTGATGGGGATTTAGAAGTCAACTATCTTTCCCCAAGTAGTAGTACAGTATTGTTTTATGACTAAGCTATGGTAAACGACAGATTTAATTTCGTAATGGTTTATGCAAGTCTAGAGGAGTGAACTGGTCTGGTAGAGTGCGAGACTTCGGTCCCCGAGGTCACTGGTTCAAATCCCGCCAATCACCAATGGATTTTATCCCAGCGATAATGCCACGATCCCCTCTAGACCTAACGTGAAGTAATGTGGAAAACAATTCTAGACCAGAAATTAAAGGAATAGTAAAACTTTGTGTAAGTCTACTACGACTCGTGTTAAAAAGCCACATAGAATAGGTGTTTGCTATGTAAACACCATTTCCATTCGCTGGGTGATACATTGCCTTTTTATCAGCTTATAGACGAGTTTTTGAATTCAAAATTCTGCAATTGAGCTAGCAGTAAAGATCAAAATGGTAATAAAAATTCAAAAGTTTTTAAACCCCTGATTTCAAACAAACATTACAGGATATGTGTATAATTTAACATGTAACTTTTCTATCCTTACAAGTGATACTTTAAAGTAAAACATACATAAACAAAACATTAACTCTAAAATAAATTTAACATTATATTGAAGCTTGAGGAATTTTTCTCAAAGAACTAATTTCAAAGATGAAAGACTGCAATTTATTAAGGTTAGTAAAATAAGTAATTAAAGAATAAAGCTAGGTGTGCATGTCGACAGGCAGTATATTAACACTGGACATAACGCCTAAGTTACCCACTAACTTAGACTATCTTCTTATTGTTGTGTGCTCGGCCTATCTTCCCTATCTAACATTGAACATTTTGTAGAACCTTTAAAACTATCGAACCTACAATTTTATTTGCATTTAATTTCTGAATTACAGTCAAAAGTAATTCATAAACAATATAATTTATCTATAAGTTTTGAAATATTTTAAAGTATTCTTCCAGATTGAAAATACCCCCGCCACAGCAAACCTACACTAAACGAATTTCCATTCGTCTGAATTGATTTTCAATTAAATCTATTTAAACAACATGAGGTTTAATAAGTACCTAGGTTTGCTGCTACAAGGAAACTGAAACTAATAAAGTGTGTTTTAGTAAAATATTAATAGCTTAGTATAAAATAAATATGCCAAGTTCTATCAATATATATCAATAAACAAGCAAACTACAACATTTTACAATATTCTCCATAAGAATAAAATGGGAATTTTAAATTTACAATTTTTGAAATTTTCCATTAGGCCTACCAATAACCGTACAAAAACACTTTGTTATACTAAATTATTTGTTTTAAAGCTCTTTAAAAAGGTCTAGAGAAAAATTGGGAAATTTTGTGTTTTGAGGGTCAAAAATGAGAAAAACCATTTTTACCCCATAAAACCCCCTGTAAAACCCCGTTCCCATGGTCCGACCATTCTCGTTCGCGAACTCATTCAAGTTTATCTCGCCTTACACCTATAAACCACATTTCATCAAAATTGGTCATATATAAAAATTTGAACGAATTGTGTTTTTGTCCTCTGGGGACATCAACATGAAAAAGTAAATCCGTCCCGGGCCTAGGTCTTACCGTACCACCTACAGTAATAGCTACTTCGCTATATAGAATATCGCTAAAAAATAACACACCTATCATGGTAACAATGTGATTATTTAATTTGTAATATTTTGAGGACTGAGGAATAAATCAAAGTTTACATAAAAAGTGAATTTATAAAATGAATGAGATTATAACGGTATGGAACAAAAACTATAAATAATAATAAACTTGGACTTTTTATATGAATAAACAGTTGTTATACAATTGTGCGGTATTTAATTTAGTGAACACGACTAATATTTTAGTTTGGTGCTTCGAAATGGGTTAAAACGTTAACTCATCCACAATTGAGTTAGTAACAGTAAATAAACTCATTTTAACAGACTAGAATAATAGGACAAGCTTGAAAACACAAAGTCTATATTTAAGACTATTTTTTATTGCAGTAAAGTACAATAGGGCAATAAAACGACTCAACTCTATATTTTCACTATTGAATGTTACTTAGAAATTATTAATGTCTAATAAACTCGAGTTTACTGTGACTTCGTGCTTTTAGCTTTAATTGCTTGATGAGTTACTATTTGATCATATCCAACCCAAGGAAAGGTTCGTTTATAGTTATAACGCTATATTAAATACCAGTTATGTGTCGTGGTCGTTTTAATGCGACATGATATAGTGCAGAAATCTTTGATAAAGGTTATTTAAAAAATGTATATATTATTTATTTGTATTCGTGTGTGCATAGCTTCCGACGAATTTTACAGAGTATTAGGAATATTGTGTGAAATTATAAATCTTACAACTGAACAGGAGACAAGGAAGGCTTTTTAATGGAACAACTAGATATTTTAGTTAAATCGATTTGCGTTAGAAACGTGTCTTATTTTTTTGTTGGAATAAGTTTTAAGTAGTGTATTTCTTAACCTCAAAACCAATGATTTAGTAAAAATAGAGATTGGATGGATTTAGAAATTGGTTTTTATTTTCAAGAAGTTGTTAATCTTCAAACGTTACTATAGTCTGATGACAACTAAATTTGAATCCAATCCAAGAAAATAAGTGGAGATAGTTTAGCGATATAATCTTCTATACTTATTTAATACGCAAGCAGGATTTTTGTGACAATTACTCCTCCGAAACTACTGAACCGATTGACATGTTTTTGGTGTCATTGGAAAGAGCGTAACGTGAAGTTGTGCAGGAAACTTTCTTTTTAGGTAAATAATTAGAGAGTGAGGCCCTGGGGCCCTTTAAAGTTTCGTATTTCTCCATAAGATTAACATGGGAAACAAACATTGTTTTGAAACTCCAGCTGTTGTCATAAATTAAATATTACATTTGCTTTGACATTTAAATGTAAACAACCAGAACTGTCAAATGCCTGAAGAACACATGTTGTTTTAATTGTAAACAGTCAATGTGTAAATTATCTATGTTGTATTAAAATGTGTATAGTTTTGGATGTTGGTTTATGTTTAATGATAT